CCCGCCAAAAGCAGGCTTGGAGAAAAAGAGAGAGAGAGAGAGAATTCACTGAAACAAAGTATCCAAATGAGAGGTTCAGCTAGAGAATCTCAGATGCCAGCAAACACATGTCAATAAGAAGCTGCAAGCTGAGCTCCCAACCAAGCTACCAAGTACCATAGCATGGAGCTTGCCACTTCCTGCTGCTGCCGAGCACTTCAGTGTTGGGGACTCATAACCCAGCAATTGCATCTTGAAAGCAACTGGACCGGCCCAAGCTGAGCCTGGATCCCAGCCAGAGAAGTCGATCAAGAAAAGAGCATCATAACTGGAGTCGAAAGGTCACTGAGCCGCACTGAACTTCCCAAATTCAAATCAAGAAGATGCAAGCGCCTTGGAAGACTAAAGATTCCCTCGGGAGCTGCTGCAAGCCTGAAAGCACATCCAAATTAATTGCGAGTGTGCTACTCTATAGAACAGTCTAAGCTGGAGGCCCTGAAACCCAAGCCAAAGCGGACATGAGAAAGATTCCTGGCCAAAGCGAAGCCTAATTGTCCTAAATGTCCCCTCAAGTCTGTGCTGTCTGCACGCCTACCAGCAGTGCCCCATGGAGTCTGCTCACCAGCATGGCTGAGATCAAGCAAAACCTCACAACTGGGTGCACTAAGAAAGAAGGCTCAGAAACCTAAACAAATTCAGAAGCTGCTTGTAGCAAACCTGGGAGCTGACATAACTCCTTTGGCAAAACTGAGTGCCAACCCGGCTAAAGCCAAATAAAGCTGCTTGTTTGACCTGTAAGAGCTCCGCAACAGACTGGGACCGTCAGTGTCGTCTGGAATCGAAAGCAAAAAAACAGAGTCAGAGCACTAGTCAAACCACAGTGACGAGGAGAGTTACATTGAAGAGTGGCAACTGAGGAAGGAGCCAGGTTACGTCTCCAAGCCTTGGTGCAAATAGTGCAAATGCCAGCCCCTCCGACAGACTCACCATGCTCCCTGCTCAGGCATTCCAAGGAAGGCACGTCACCAGCGTATTCGGTGAAGCCACCACCAAGCCCATGACTTGAAAGCCAATGAGGGCCTCTGACTAAGTTTTACTACAGCATTGCCACTGCGGCACGAACAACTGCTGGCACAAGACCGAACTTCGGCTATATATGTGAGCCCTTCGTCCCATACCATCTGGAAGCTTTGCAGCATGAATGAACAAAGCGAGGTCCTTGCGCAAAATGCACGCTGAGCCTGGAAAACTCCTATGGCCACAGTGATGGCTTTCTTCAAATGCTCCGATAGGACCTGAATGGAAGTCACACCCAATTTACAGAATAGAGACCTTTCACAGCCACTAAGAAGAAACACCTTCAGAACTATCAAACTTGAGCATCTGGCTGTGGTAACTATCCACTGACAAACGCCCAGAACGGCCAAAAGCCTCAAGACGGTCTGCAGGATTATGGGGTTGTGGCTCACATGCGGTAGAAGGTCTATAGCATATGTAGCCTATGGCCCTTTCCTCGTTGTAAATTGAAGGTCGGACACAATTCAGCTGCAAAACCGAGAACTGCATGCACCCTGCGCCTAAACGAACACCAAAAACGACCAATTCTACGAAAAAGAAAATAGACGACGAAAACGAGTCTTCTTTTCATGCGAACCAAGTCACAAGAGTGCAGCGCCGCTGACAAAGCAACAGCTCATGGCCTCACAGGTGTTGAGTTGGTTTACAGGTCGTCCGGTGTTGGTCGCTTCACTTCTTCGGGTCTTCGGGTTCTGTTCAAAACAAAACAGCTGCGATGCCCAAGCTCCCAGATCTCGTGATCTAAAGACCCAAAAATGATGAGTGCTTACACGGGGTCAATGTAATTCCCTCCTGACCGCCTCATGGTTGTCCTCCCATCACTTGCATCATGAGAATCTTTCACTCTAGGACTGTTGCACCACTTAGGTTCATGTGTTCCATGTGGCTGGTCCTCATCTGCACTTTTGTGTGATGATGTTAAGCGCAACATGCTTGCAGCTGGTTTTGAAGTAAGATTGTTTTGTTCCGTTCCTGCCCCCCTTTCGCGTTGTTGTGTCTGCTTTCTGATGGTTTCTACAGGATTGTCTCTTGCTAATTACTTTCTGTCCTGTGCGGGACTTTGTCTTTCATCTGCTACCTATTTCTTCTAGCTGACAAAGCAAGGCATAGTTGATGAAGCGGTTACAGTATTTGATCAGATTGCTTTGTTGGTCAAAGATCTTGCTTCCTGCCAATAGGTTCCACAGAAGCTGAGAGTACCAAACCACTACCACCAAATCAGCTGGACATGTTGCAATACATGTTGTTACGCAATGTTCATCAGTGCTACAGACGGGACTCGGATGAAGCAAGAGGAAAGCCTTAGCACCACAGTGTGGTGCATGTAGATCAATGTTTACCAAAATTCCAAACAGCTGCAAGCTTGAGACATTCAAAGCCTTCAAAGACTGGTCCCGGCCTGCCCAAAAGTCAGGTTGAAGGCCCGGCAGAGTCCAAATGAAAAGTACCTGGCGCTCCCAAAACCCAAAGGATTGCAAACAAAGGATCGGGTCTATTTTGAGCGCACGCGTTCAGCCCCATTCCAGGCATCAGCCCAAGAGGAGCATTTCCTCACGCCGTCAATAACCATCTGCTGAGGACACTTCTCACCCTCACCAACTGTGCTCTTTCTCAAACAGTGCTGGTGGATGAAACTCTGGGGTCTCAGCCAAAGATTCCAACTATCAGAGAGCCGATCGCAGCTGACACAGCGGTTGCTGTCATGATCGTCTCCTGGAGGCAGGTGTCGCTTTGCTCATCGAGGTTTCGGAGACTCGAACCAGTTCTGGCTCAATCCAGTACTCAACATGTCAAGAAGTTGAATCTCTACAGCCAGTGTACATCCAAATGCATGTGCAACATGAGCTCGCAGAGATCTGTCCGCAGATAAATGGCTTGCTGGATCAGCACTGCCCAGGATGACTGGGTTGACAACAAGAATGTAGCCTGTGAAAGGTCACACACCTCTGGTCACACCCCTCTGACTGGCCCTGCAATTCTGTTCAAAGCTATCACTCAACATAACACGCCAGCTGCACTCATAGTCATCCAATTGATGAACCCTGACCTGACCTGCCAAGTCATTGGAGAAATCACAGGTCCGTAAGGTCAGTCAAACATCCAAACTCGTAAAATGAGGATCTTTGGCTTTGTGATGTCTCTGACAGCTGTTGGGTCTTGCAAACTTATGTTCACTCTTGCTGCAGGATCAAGACTCTCTTCAACACATGCTCTTGCTTTGCCTCCGTCTGAAGGCAAGAACCACGCTCAGAGACCTTGGAAACTAGCAGGTCATCTCAAGTTGTCAAATATTGCAAGTCTAGTACATGAACAGTTTTGTAAACTGTAGTTGTATAAATATAGATAGATAGATAGATAGATAGAGAGAGAGAGAGACTACAAAAAAGCTTCAAGAGCCCACACTCAGGACTTACTTCCAGCTTGTTCCGTGGTTGTAATCACGCGCAGAGCAAAGCACCACACCAGAAAGAAACGATCTATGGAATCAATCCAAGTTGATGAACCTGTCACACATCAGTTGGTTACAAAATCTGACCTTGGCTGAACTTTTCTGAAAGAAATTCTACATATATATATATATGTATGTATATATACAACATCACAGGCCTGACTTTGGGCTCCCATTCTTGGTCTCCCCATTGTCCTGTGTGACTTTGCAAGGGTGCTCAGCTGCTTGAAGCGGAGCATGGGAGTCATGGATGGACAAATGTTTGCCTAGTTCGAATTCCTTCCAATTCTATATGCCCAAATGTCAGGTTCTGGAGAGGCTTCAGTTGTTGTTTCTCGAGCTCTGATTTCCCCTTGGGTTCCGGCACCAATTCTACAAGGAATTGTCAGAGTTTGAGTCACATGTTCAGTTGCTTTCTATACGATCAATATTCTATGCTGCTGCATACATGCTCAGTTTCCTTTCACTTAGCATGACAAACTCTACCAAATAGAATGCGCGATGCTTTCTTGTGCTTCTGGTTTGCGAGGTGCTTCATGTTTCACATTGTTTTTTGAGTGGATACTTGCCCATCGGCCTGTTGGCCCATCAGGGGAGCATCTTACAGTATTCTTTGGGGCCTACATAGTCAAAAAGAATGAAAGTGCCTAGTGGATGCTTTTAAGAGGCGGGGCTCCCTTTCTCATTCTCTCCCTCTCCCTCTCCCTCTCCCTCTCCCTCTCTCTCTCTCTCTCTCTCTCTCTCTTCAAGGCCTTCTTTGTGCCTGCCTCCAAAGCCTCCCAACATGGGCGCTGGCAAAACAAGAAAAATTGAATCTCTTTGTTTCTATATGCTGTCTGCTCCGAGCAACAGTAGAACCCAGCCTCCAATGCGGCCAGATTTGCTTTTGATCCATCCGCTTGCATTGTGCCTTCAGGCGCCTTCAGGCCTGAGAACCGGGCACGCAAAGTCCTTCCATTCCAACGACTCAAAAGCAATGTGAAGATACAAAGGAAGCTTTCTTGACTTCTTTCTTTTCATCGTTTTTCTGTAGAACTGTGGTTCTTTTCTTAACATTCTGACTTAGCAGCTTTGCTTTGGCTCAAAGCGTTGTATTGACTCTTCACTGGTAGTCGCTAAGTCAGCCGGCCAGCAAGGCCACTGGGCAATGGGGCAGGTTTGGACCAAGTGCAACAACAAAAAACGGGAAGTGCTTCAGCAGAAGTGTTTTCAGTGGAAACTTCAGTGGAAACACTTATTGTGTTCAAGTTCTACCATTGAAACTTTGACAACATGTGCATTGAGAAACACTGAAGTAGGGAGTTGATCTCTTTGTGAAGTGTCCTTACGTGTTGAATGCATCTGTCATGAAGCATTCTTTGAGCCTGAATCACTAATTACAGAAAGTCAAGGCCAAACTATCACTGCGACCAAGTTGGAAAAGCGAGGCATGAGATCAGTGCTTTGCCGACCAGGACATGATGAACGAATGAAATTCATGGGATTGGTGTCCCACCTCCACCAATGCTCCAGATTTTGGTAGCACGAATGGATGGTTTACCTGGCCAATCAGAATACACAAAAACTATTTGAACAAGAAAACTGCAGTAAACACACTTCACTACAACTACAACTTATAGTTATAGTACGCTAAGCCCTCTGCTCTAATCAGATTGTGCAAAAGAGAGTTCTTAAACTCTTGACTTGAATGCCTCGAGTTTCATCTGGCGCCGAACGCCACCAGCATGTACAGCAATGATTGGCTTGGGTGGGACATTGGAAGCCGTGACCACGGTGATCTCAGACAGGGAAGAAACAAGGAATCTCAATTGATTCAAGTCAAAGTAACTGGAATTCTGCCAGCTGAATAACGATGTCATACAAAACGGTGCCTCCATGTCATCTGCCGGCAGCCACACACGGGCACAGTTCCCGCTTCGACCAGCCAGAACTGCGTTTTGCATGTTCCACATGAAGAAACCTGCGGGTCTATCAAAAAACACCCTCAAAACCAAACTAAGGTAAAGATTGTACTGTTAACACAGTTTGCAACACACATGTGCAATGCACCTGAAAGTTCTCGTGTTCATGAACCGTGCTTCACTTGGTCTTTTTGTGCACGTTGAACGGGATTGTTAATACACAACAATACAGTAATTTTGACAACAAAAAACCGCTTTAAACACGGCAAACTACAAGTGAGTTCCTTCCTCATGAGGGTCAAACCCAATCCAAGTTTGGTCTTTCGGTGCGGGCAACTGAGCAATCAAAGAAAATCATGTCAAAAATTGAGGGTGATGGCCAGCTGTGTGCAACATATGTCGCAAGACCCTGCTTGCACATGTGGCTTGTCAGCTCTTCGCTGTGCAAGCATTGAGGGGCATTGCTATTGCAATGTTCTGAAAAATTCAACCGGATCCAGCTGAGTGCAAACGGCAGAAGAAAAAATGTTCGTGGTAGCGAGCGCAGCGGACTTTTCCAAGACTAGTTTGGGCCACTACGTGACCGGTACATGTGCTTCAAGTGTATGTGCTCTGCACAACTGAACGTGAACTCAAGTGTACATCAGTGGGTCTGTGTGAAATTTCAATGTCCAACACCCCCTGAGAAGTGTCACGACAAAGTGGCACTCTTTTCACGCCATCTCAAGCCACTCCTTCATCGAAGCAGCGTCGGACGTTTTCGTCCCAGTTCAGCTCCCACTGGCCCGATAGGAACGTGATCGCGAAGTTCGCGAAATCACGTTTCTCCTCAGCTCCCCAGCACAGCACATGGTCGAACGCTGCTCGGGGATCACGTTGTCCATGGAGCTGTCCAATCCTTGCTTGCAAGAATTCTTTCAACAAAGTAGCCGGAAAAATTCCAGCTTCCTTCACTTTGCGTCCACGTCTTTCCTCATCTGGTGGTAGGTATCTAAAAATCGTCTCAAGGTCATCCCAATTGGCATCACTTGGTGGCTCATTTCGGTTGTATTCTGACCATACTCCTCCAGGCGCGTCTCCTCTAGCATTGACATCGATGTCCATGTCTTGGGTCTCATCCATGTTCTGGCTCTCATCCATTTCATGGTCTGCCTGTCCTTCACTTTGTGCTTCTCGTTCTGACCTTGTAGGTCGATATTAGAGGCCTGTCTGAGCATTTCCTGTGAAGTACTCCTCACCGCTCTCAGCTTCTTCTGATCCAGCAAGGACTCTGTACTCTCGCATTGTCTTGGTTCTGGGTCCCAATCTGTGGTCCATTCACCAATCCATTCATAGTGAGCATCATTCTCCATGTTATCACTGGGTTCATCTCCTGATCCATGTCGAAGCTCTGGTTCCAATTGCCGATCACGTACTACAGGTTGAAGTGGATTGTCAGGGAAGACGGTTGTCAGCTGGTTAGTGCCCAAATCCGACACGTTCCAAAGTGTTGGAACGCCGTCCAAGGTGAGAACCTCTTTCTTGACCTCGAGCTGCATCCAAAGATAGCGGGCGTCAATGTGTTTCAACCGACCAACGCCCAATCTCTCTGTGAAAGCTCTGCAGGAAGTGCTGCCTGTAATTCACCGAATCTTGACCTCTCGCTTGCTCAGGAACTGCCTCCGCTGCTGCTAGGAACTCTGCCTCGCAGGAACTCAAAGAAATTGCTTTCTGGGATCTTGACCATCCGGCCACCAAGCATCCATTCAGAAACAACATTGCCGAACTCACTGAGTGCCTTCTTTTCTTCTCACTAGACTCGTCGCCAGTGCAATCGCTGTCTGTGAAGGCCTCCAAAAGGTCGCTGACTGAGGATCTCTGCCTTCTTGCTCTTGTTCTTGGTGTAGGGGAGCAATAGGCCATAGTTCTCGGTGCTCTTCAAGTAGGAAATGACATGTTTGAGCTCTATCTCAGCCTTCTTCGTTGGCAGTGCCATGAACTGCGAAACATTTCGCACACCGTGCTGAATGTCAATCCTATCCTGGGAGATATACAAAAGTGTACCCAGCGCCAATCTAAATCTGTGCTGGTCTCCACGAGCTTGTCTTCTGGGCCACCTTCTAAATCCACTTGTGTGCTTTCTGGCGTCGCCTTGCCTGCTCGGTTGGTGAGGTTGTACAACTCCAAGAGTCCTGGAACATAGATAACGTTCATGAGGCATGATCACCAAACCTTCTTTTGTGAAGAAATGCCTCTTCTTCAAGCATCTACGGGCTGTCCTTCTCGAGGAAGAATGCCAGACTCGCTCAACACGAACTTCTTGTTCATCATGTCCAGCAACCATTCCAAATCTGCCAGTTGTCCAGCAACAATCAAGTCATCGACATGACATACTGCACCAAGTGGTCTGCTTCTAACAATGAAGGTAAGCTCGAATGGCTCTGCAAACACAGATCTCGAAGATGATCGCTGAGAAAGTTGAACCAACGAGCTGCTGCATCTCTCGGTCCTGGCAAGCATTTGGCGAGTGTCCAGAAACGACATTGGCCATGGAAATTGTCTGCCTTCCCCTCTGCCTTCCACCAATCTGGTTGTTCCACTAGCACCAAACGAAGTTGGTCCACCAAAAGAAAAACGTCCTTGATGTCGAGGAAGCATAGGCGCAACTTCAGGATCACATGAGTCCCAAGCACCAACCTAGTGGCTGCTAGCGAGGATGTCGGTGCGAAGGTCTTGGCTGTAGAGACGTCGTTCCCTTTGAACTCTCTTGCCACAAATCTGCATCTATCCCCTTCCACTTGCCATCACGAAACCTCCAATCTCTCCTTGTTCAACTTCTTGTTCTGTGGCTGTGGGATCTCTGATTACTCCCATGTCTAAGAGTCGGCCAATCTCTTTTTGTCCTGCGGCCTCAATCTCCTTCATTGTCTCTGCATCCACCTGAGAGGAGGTTGTCCTTCCTCAACTGTGTCGAGCCCCACCATAGTCCACTCCATCTTGGTTTTACCTCCATCTCCCATTGCTCTTCATTGACTGGGTGGATGTCCTCTGTCACCTGATTCACACCACCAGCATAGTGAGGTGCGTTTAAATGTGTTGGACTACCTTCTGGACTTGTCACTCGTGGGATCCTGGGCAATGGTTCTTTCTCTGCAGTATCATCAAGCATCTCATGCGGCCTGCTGGAAGTTGACGTAGAGGGAATCCTAAGCTCTGGTGTCACCGGGGCTTTGTTTCCAACGGTTTCATCATCATCCATGCCCATAGGTAGAGGAGGTACTCGAAGGAACTTAGAAGCGGGTTGATCTCCTTCATCAACTTCTCCCTCACCATGCTTTGCTCCACTGTCTCTCTTTGTCTCTGTTGGAGTTCCACCAGGATGATCTCGAGCATACTGCATCACATCGTCAGCATCCCGGTCTCGAACATCTTGATATCCTGGATTGCCATCAGGCGGTTCATCATGTTTGTCTTCGCCTCCAAGGTCTCGATCAGGTCCAGGTCCCTTGCCAGGTCCCCGAACTCCACGGGGAATGATGGGAGTCATGGGTAGAAGTTGTAGAGGTCGTCGTGTGTTTGGGTTTCTGTATGGCTTCTCCTTCACCATGAAGAGATTGACAGATCTCAGGCTGTCCTGTCTCACGGCTTTACCTCGAACCAAGCCTGAAGAGGCCACCACCATACGCAGGTCATCCTCTTCTGTTTTACCAACCCAAATGCCTGGAACCCATTGAGGCTCATTGAGGTCCTTGTTTCAAGCCAGGCTGCCTGCTGAGCACCATCACATACTCACCAAAGCACACAACCTTTCCAACATAGCGCCTGCCATAAGCCATCTCAAAGGGCGGCTGTTGAAGCGATTGATCACCCAGGCTGCATGAACGTAGGCCCAACTCCACAAAGCATCATCTCCTGGCAATGAAATCAAGCAACGATCCTCCGCCATCGTCACCAAAGCTGAAGCCTGTCTCCTCAATGTTTGAATCGCCCTTTCCACACAGCCTGTTCGGCCTTTCTTCTGACTGAAAGTCAGCACCATTTCCAGTCCAAGGCCTTGTCGAAGGGTCTTGATCACGGTCCGCAAGCTCTTCATCGTTGGCTCGCTATCTCCAACCACCTCCAGCTTGCCATAGTGACTCATGGCCAGAGAAAACTTGGTCAACTGGTCTGCTTGTCCACGAAGGTCTGCACCTTTGCTCTCGACTGGCATGGCCATCAACATCCTGCTCTCACAATCAACTCCAACAAGCACCACGGTCAAAGCTGTTTGGCTTGAAGTCTTGCCCTCAGATCGACCAAACCCATGCCATAGTCACGCTGAATCGAAGGAGATGTCCTCCCTTCCTCCGACAAATCCAAGGGCCGTTGGGCATCTGCTCGACTCTTGCAAGACACGCACACATCACACCAAGGTTGGGAAGGTAGATGCACCAATTCTAGGAAGCGTCCATTGCCTTCCGGGACCAGGTAGATTTCATCTGTTGGGGGCGTCAGCAGGCATCCCAAAAGAAAGCCAGCTGCAAAGACCAAAGCGGT